GAAGTTATGTTTAATAGTAAAAACCATCTTATTTGTAAACGTATTATCTGCATTGTATGTATATACGTTTAAAAAAATTCACACTGTACGTTAGTAATTGTCTGCACACCCTTATCAAGCCGAACTAAACTAATTTTGACCGCACCAATTCTTCCTATTCAGCTGAAACGGCCTCCCAGGTGCACTGATTTCATCCCATTATCCGAGCTTTCATGCGGATAAGGGGGGTGACCCAAAATTAGTGGCCGATGCATCCTATTCACAATTATCCGTGCATTACCATCCGGATAAAAGGCGTAATCTTTGTGCATTAACACTGACAATAGGATCTGCCATTAAATAGGACAGGAGTAGATTCACAGAACATTGTTGCTGTAGGTCTGGCCAAAGCATACAACCCCTGGACAGTGGGCTGTTGACAGCCCATTGCCCCACCGGTAAAATAACAAGCACACGTTCCACTTTGTGCAACGTCCACAGCGTTGTCGCCCAGCTCGGTGCCGCCAATGGGAAAAACGGGCATCGGGCGACGCTCGTTTCGGCCGCGCAAGGTCCGTCGACTCTGCCCTGCGCGGATAAAGTGATTAATGCCGGTGCTGTCAGCTCCATCGCTAGATTGTCCTCCCTTTATTACAGCCGTCGTCACGACACGAAAATAATATCCATGATAGAGGTGTGTTTTGGTTTAGGATCGCGTGAATGTAAATGTGTCGTTAAAACCCGCCGCCACCGGACACGGCCAATCGGTAAGGTTTGTCACGTGAACAAAACGTGGCAATTCGTTATTGGTTCAGCACACCGGTGTGTTGGAGACTAAACCCACAACATTTACGTTTAGTGCAATGCGGCTGACGGTGATTGACCTCGGATGAAGCAGGAAATGAACAGAATGGAGTCCCCCACCCGCCAGGCATTGTTGAACTCTTGAGCGGCTGGGAGGCAGGGGAAGTCGCAGGGAAGGGGTGGGACAAGGACATTATGTGGATTTAGGAGTCATTCCAGGTCTCTATCAAGATATCAGTTTTGTCAGTTTCATCTTTAGTAAATTCTCCCGTGATATTTTTGACAAATTTAGGTTTGTTAGGTGACAACCAGTGGCTTTTTTCAGGTTCGTTTCGTGACTTTGCGCCCGAAGGAGTTAGCAACGGGACCTCCACAGCGGTGTTGGACAAGGGTGGGGCGTTTTGTGTGGGCACGTGTCACGCTCGTCGTGGTTAAATTCGACACAGACGCCTTGGGAATCAATTCGGGCCGAGACGAGGACGGAGTCCCACCAATTCCTGCCCTCTTGCGTTTGGTCGGTGTTCATTTTGCGGTGCTGTGCGCATAAACAGTTGACATTGGAACAGCAGAATTCCAAGTATGCGAGGAACTGCAGATGCGTGCATACATAGAGTACTGTACGTACGTAGTATGCAACACCCCCCCTCCTCCTCCCCCGCGTACGTCTGCCCCTGTCTTGCTATGCTCCTCCCAGCCCTGCCTCCCCTGCCAACAGCTGGCACGGGAGACCAACGTTGGCTGAATGAGATTCCAGTAAACGGAAAGGAACCGTGACGGATGGCAAGTTGTGAACGGATGCCGCCGAGTGGGCCGGAGGGGTGCTGGTTCCGAGCCCGGCCTGTACTTTATGGGCTTCTTCGGAGCCAGCATTAGCGCCCCGCCTGATTGCAAGCGTCTGCAGTCCAATGCTTGGGAATGGTGTGTGGTTGGTGGGTCATACAGATTTTGTGAAACTCCCAAACTCTCGTTGGTTCGTTGACCCTGTCTGGGCAGAGATGTGCATGTTCGCCCCTCGTTTGTGCACAGTGGGTTTTCTGTAGGTACTTCGATTACTTTTGCTTTCCTCCAACGTGATTAAAAAGGACATGGTCAAACGACCCAATGCAGCCATATTTAGAAAGAGGTTTCTTGAGACCTGTGAGTCTTTCCTGGATGATTGAATGATGACACTTATTGTTACCATCTAAATAGGTGGCAATAGCGGGTGGCTGATGAGAGTCAAAGCACTGGTGAAAAAAGGGGGGGCTATTGAAGTGTTTCACTACTTCGCCGCCACGCTCCAGTACAGGGGAGAAGCCTCCATTCGAGGGAGTTCTAAAGAGTCCCTCTACAGAGAGTACTTTGTCCGACTCTTCAATGCTAGACAGACATCTCGGAAGGGGTGCGAGTACCCACGCTTTATCCCACCACACAGGACCTGCATATCGACTAACTTGTGACCTAGCCATGCGGAGAGAGGGGGGGGGGGGGGGTGTTAAGACAGGGGGTTTATTTAAGCACTTTTTACATCTAAATTGAAACGTCATATCTTTATAATTTATTTTCTTGTTTAGTTTGTTCTTCCTCGCCCCGCGCCTCCAAATTAGCACGGTTGGCTACGTTCAACGTACACACATACGTATGAAAGAATAAGAATAGTCTTACCTTTTCTGGCAATAAAACAGTTATGTTAAGATTATCCAAACTCCAAATATAAACCTTTTGCGAGGAATCATGCGTGCAATAACCACACGTACTTGTGTGGTTGGTGAGACTAGGCCCTAAAGAAGGTTGTCTCTGGTGTAGACCAATTAGTTTCAAAGATGATGCATATATAATTATTAGAGCATGTTGTCTGTTTGCACCACAAGTACGTATGGTTAATGCAGACATGATTCCTTGCAAAAGGTTTCTATTTGGTGGTTAAAAACCTCTTAACACCTGTTTTAGTTTCATCTTCTTGGTTCTTTCGATAAAGTCACGTAGAAGGGAAGTAATAAAATAATAAAAATAAAACATAATAAAATAAAATAATTCTCACGACGTGTCGGCTACAACGCAAGCAGCCGTCTTCAGGTGAAGAATGAGACACTGCCAAGCTAGGAGCTTAATATAATCTGGGTTGGAGGTGGAAGAAGAGCGCCTTAACAAAAAGTAATGTGCATATCAAGAGGAATTTAGCATATTCATGGGAAATGCGTAGGAGGTGGGCGGGGGGGGTTTCAAAGTCATATTATGCCCATGCATTATGCAGGATCAGCAGCACCAAGGTAGGGTGCAGGGAGTAGCATTAACAAAGGAAAGGAATGTTAATAGTATGTAGCTGCAGTTACTAAACAACCACGTAGAAAACTAAAGTATAAACTACATAAAAAAGCATCATCAGTATACTTACTATACTCTACAATAAGCTGAGTTACTAACAGCAAGTAATACATTACAATTATACGTCGTAAAAATTATATAATATGCTTCCATCTAAACTTTATTCTCTTACATCACACAAGCATACACCGTACTATATACTGCCATAGACAACCCCAACATTAAATTATATACTGTATTGCTATAAACCACTTATACATTTTAATATAACACTATGTATTATTCTACCCACCCTAATGTGTATCACACTGCTATATGTTTACTATACAATTACGATACTATATATTACTTTGTACATTGTATTAAGCATATAAATGTTATACTATTTGTTATTATACACTGTACCATTGACCGTCGTGTCAATTCACGCCTGTTTTATTGCCAGGAAGGGTAAAACCTAATCTTATTTTTTCATACTTTGCTATTGGCAAAAAAGATCCCATGTTTTACACAGATGCGTTAAAATGTTCCCATTGTTTCAACCGTAACGTATTATTCAGTGCATATGTATCGTGAGACGAAAAAGAATCCCAGGTTATTAATTCCCGATTGTAATTAACGTGAACTCACCACGGCACGTTATTTTTCTGGGCACCATGGGATTGCGGCAAAGGCGCGTCTCGGATGTCTCCAGACGGCCGAGCTGCGAGCCGGAGGCCTAATTGAAAGTCAATAAATGTCCCATCCAATAATCTATTAGAACCGCAAATAAATATGCAGTGGTTTAAAAAAAGAAAAACCGGTGAAAGCATTTTGTTCCTTGAAGGGGTGTCTGTCTGTTAATTAGATTGGGCCTCTTTGCTAAATGAATCTGGCAGAAGCCTCACACTTTCATTGCCTATAAAGCGTGAATTGCTGTCTGTTTTTCTGGTAGTGTTATGCTTGTGCTCACGAGAATTTCCACGTTGAATAGGCCAGAGATCAGATGTGTTCAATGTCACAATAACTCTTCCCAATCAATTTCTACTTATGTTCATGTTTCCCGCACCTCCGATCAGCACGGTTGGCTACGTAAGGTGCGAAAGAAGTTCAACTTACACACATACATGTGCAAATGCAGTGGAATAGAGCAGTGGTTACAGTGGTTCGCACACTGTGCTATGAAGCCAACGACCCGAGTTCAATTCCTGGCCACGGCTAACTTCAGTGGCAAAGGGATATCAGAACTGGTCCTGCTTTCCTATAATTTCACCAAACCCACACTAACCAGCATGGTGAAGTATGGTTGCCCCACCCCCTCCCCATGACCGACATGGCACGGGGAGTCCTTCATTCATGAGTAGATTGAGTTTGGCTGGAATAATTAATTAATTTGTACTCTAAGTGTAATAATAGCTTTCAAAATGTCAATGAAGCCTGAGTTTTTATAAATTCATAAGTATAAAGGAGGTTATTATGGAAATAATTATAGTAGCTCACAGATTTAGAAAATCCTGTTTTATATTGAATTAATGTTAATTGACAGCCAGTGGTATGTTTTAAATATGTAACCGGCAGTAGGCGTGTGTATGTTAATTCCAGAAATAAATTACAAAATGTAATTAACTTTGCACAACACGTTGCCTTCCCATTGGGCCACATAAAAATATATAGCGTGAATTATGGGTCGTTTGCCCAAGTTAAACAAAGAACATATGTTCTTGGGCAACCGCCCACCGTAGCGTCAATCAATGCTCATCGTGGCGCAGCGAGCAGGGCTCGCGCCCGCCTGGGTCGCATTCACGGCGTGGGACATGAGGACGGCAATCCAGGTTTCGTCTCGTTAAAGCTCCGTACGTGGCCGCGTGGGCTCCAGACGTTGGCCCTTGACCCGTGCCGTCGTCCGCGCGCTTTGTTTTTTGTGCGGCGTGCAGACTTCTCAGCCGTGGTGCCGCTCACAGAGAGGCTCGACACCAGCGCTCACAAAGCCCGCGCGCAGCTCATCGTCAAAGCCAAGCGGCAGAAACCCTCACGCGGGAAACTCCGCAAGACTGACAGCGAGGTCCGTGCCGTCGCACTCCGGTCGTTCGCCTCGCTTGGCGTCACTTACGTGTGTGCGGCTCGTGAAAGTTCGCTCGGTATTATCGATGCGTTCACTCGGCGGTCTCTCGACATCTTCGCTCGTTAGTTTCTTCCGGAAATTCTGCGTGCTTCGAAAAGAGTCGCGCTTAAGGCACTGACCTTTCTCGCTCAACTGCCCTCAAGCCTTTCACTCCATGACCACGACAGCAATCATCGTGGGGTCCTTGAGGCTTCAGGCTGCATTGCGGGACGTGAGATGAATACGAGGCAACCCGACAGAGGCCGCACACCAGCCACTGCGGTTTTCACTGCGGCGTGATCATTGTCATCGTTCGAGGGCCGCTGACGCACGGACGCACAGTTCATGTGTAGCACGTGCGACGTGTGCGGGCGTGCGCACGGTGACCAGTCGCTCGACGTTGTCAGGTGGCGGAGGAGGAGTTGGAGTCCACACCGTCCTCCCCGGCCACGCAGACCGTGGTGCCGGGAGCGGCCGAGACGTCGTCGCCCAGCCAGCCCACGGAGACGCCCATCGAGGCGGCCAAGTCCACCTCCCTGGCCTCGCCCGTCAGCCCAGGTACTATAAACTAAATTTCTATTTAAAGCTTTCGTGACTGCAGGGATTCATCTTCTTGGTTCTTTCGGTAAAGTCACGTAGAAGGGAAGTAATAAAATAATACAAATAAAACATAATAAAATAATTCTCACGACGTTTCGGCCACAACGAAGAGCTTCTTCCCACCTCCCCCCCTCCAACCCAGCTTAAATATAGGCTCCAAGCTTGGTGGTGTTTCATTCTTCACCTGAGGACGGCTGCTTGCGTTGTGGCCGAAACGTCGTGAGAATTATTTTATTATGTTTTATTTTTATTATTTTATTACTTCCCTTCTACGTGACTTTACCGAAAGAACCAAGAAGATACTATAAACTATTTTTTATTTTACCAGGTAAGGCCCCACTGAGCTATATAACTCTCTTTCAAAAGCGACCTGGCCACAAATGATGGCTCAAGGGAAGTGGCTTATCACGTGGAAATGTATAGCAGCCAAATACTCTTAAACGCATGTTTCTAAATGTGGAGGGAAAACCCGGAAGCCCCCGGAGAAAAATCCAAGCGAACATGTGGAGAACATGCAAACTCCAAATGTACAGGCGTCAGGGTCGGGATCGAACCCACGATCTCCTGTATACCAGGCGAGGGAGTTGACATCTGGCAACGTTAAGTGATGAAGGCCCACCGACACTCCCCACCTACATTAACTTCCCAAGCTCTTTCCAAAGTGGCCAATCTTTAAACCACCCACACCAAGTCATTGTCAAGTCTATGTAGCTTCAAGTCTTGCACACCAGCCCAGATCCACATAACCCCATTTCTTATCTTGCCCATACCATACTTGTATATCTACCTCGATCTGGCAGTGTCTGAGCACACATGCACACACACATGCATAACGACAGCAACAATAACCGTTCGCCACTAAGTGACGGTGATATCCCTAGAGTGCTTGTGCCAGGCTAGGTGGACTTGGAGGCCATGTAAAGTGTTGACGGCTCATTGACGTATCATGGAACAGACCCAGGTGTTATGGGTTCATTGACGTGTTTAGGCTGCCCGGCACTCTACTTATCGTTGTGAGCGGCTGCCTCAAACGAACCATGAGTCACCCCCACAGAGGCCAATATTAAAAAACAAAAACGTACACACACAAGCACGCGCGCAAACCACAGACGCGTTGCAAGACCATGAGCAAGAGCGTGATAGCGATCACAGAGCAGTTGGTCAAACGAAAACACCCGTATCATCACGTGCACACGCACGGATGGCATCCATAATAATATCGATGAGCATCGCGCAGAACAGCGTTCGCTCACTCTCGAAGAGAGCAGGTACGACTCGGAGGCAAGAGGAAAGCAACAGACGAGCGGGAGAGTTCAGCCTCACAGCGAGCTGGCGCCAAATTTTTTTCCCAAGTTCTGCGGTCCTCTACACACATCCAGGCTTTGTCGTTCAATCGACGAGCGTCTACATGTGGGAGGAAACCAGAGCACTCGGAGAAAACCTACTCGCACGAGGGGGGTGTGACACTCTATCCCATAGAGACGGAAACGGGTAGAGTGGGAGCGGAAGGTGGCAGGTCACATTGGTGTTGGGTCATCAGGATGGCTCGAACCTCAGTTAGGCCGAGTGCCACGACCTGTTTCGTGGTAGTTATGTTCAACGTGGCATTTACATTCCGTACATGTTGTCAATTTCTCACGCTCTTTGCCTCTAAAAGGCCAATCAGTTTAATTTTTAATTGCATGTCATACAAAGAATCGGATAGTTATTTTTCTTACTCTGCAAGTATAGAATAGGTGCCGTGGTGGCGAGATGTATAACTGCCTCGCTTGGTACACAGGAGGTCATGGGTTTGACCTCGATCCTGATGCCTGTTCTCCCCGTGGTCACGTAGATATTGCTCCAGGTCCTCCGGTTTTTCCCCAACACATTTATAAACCCGCATATAGAATATTTGGCTGATATAAATTTCCACGTGATAAGCCACTGAGCTATAATATAATGGTCAAATCGCTTTTGAAAAAGAGCTCTCTCGCTCAGTGGGTTTTCCCTGCTACATTTTATTAATATTATTAATTATGGAATGTAGCATTGCATTCAATCTTCAATCACCTGCAAAGTTGTATCTTTCTCTCGTGACTTTCGCAGCCTTGAAATGATATCACACTGCTGTAGTGCCAATCGGAGAGAGGAAAAGAAAGTGATAGGAGCAGGAAAGAAGTGGGAAATGCTGCGCATGAGTTGCTGTAAAAGCTCCCTGCACTTGCTAGACAAAAACTTTGGCATATTTGCACAGTAACACCAGTTCACTGATATGTACAGGGTGGTCCAGATGTCTTGTGACCCCAATTTAATTCTCTAAAATTGAATCTTTTTTTTAAAGTAAGGTTTATTTAAAACCGAAATGAATATGCAGAGGTAAACAATGTTAGGGGTCAATTATAATACATCTGGACCACCCTGTATAATGGGATTAATATTCGCTAGGTCTCATCCACCCAGATTTCAGCCACAATACACAATCGGCATGTAATTAGGGTAATCAGGAATACAGGCTTACCGATTAAAACAACTTGGAATGTAAGTACAGTGGTGGCAGCTACAGACAGGCCACGACCCTATTAACACCTGTTTAAATAATCAATCCCTGAGTAAAAAGCAGCCTGGTTATGGCGACATGGCCTAGCGGTAGAGCATTCACGGTTGGTTGCAGAGGTTTTCTATTCGAATCCAGCCACCCGGCCCCCTGATTGTTGCTGCTGCGGTGTTGTGTAACGTGGTTCGCAAGAGCGGGCCATTGCGTGCCGGATTCGTGGTCCAAATTTACCAATTAAAAAATAAATTCCGGAAAGGTACTCAATTGGAATTCGCAAATAAAATCATTGTCCCCTACAGTGAGCAAAAAAAAGTGTCGTGAGACTCGGTGAAGCTTTCCTGGGTAAACAACCAGAATGTAAATAAATAAATGCATCCACAGCAGATGTCTCAGGAAATGCATCTTTTAAAAATGTACCTTCATTTAAAATGCTCAGCCATTTTGATGACGAACAAAGTAAATGCGCGAGCTTGGGGGACTTTGCGAGCATCATGTGCCCCAGTTGCTGCACGCGAAACCGCCGAGCAATTAAACCCCCGTGAGAAAAAAAAACGCTGCGCATCTTCACTCTCCGCAGAATGAAAGCGGTTACTCGGAAGTAATTTAGAAATGCGTCCTTTGTTTCCGATGCTTTTGTCGCAGCGGCACGGGCATGTGTCCCTGGCATTGCGAGGTGGTACCCTGCTCGCAAGTAAACACGCACACACGCCGTGCCACAGACGAGTTTGGGACTGCCACGAATCAATTCTCAAAGGGAGTAAATCTGAACCAGCATTCCTTTGGAAAGATCAAAAATTGTACGGACAAAAAAAAAAACACGTCGTAAGTTCAGGCTTAGTGAAGCGGAGTCGACAGGTAATACAAGAGCTGTCTCGGATTTTTTTTTTAGAAGCAATAAATGTTGAAACGAGTTTGTAAATCGAAGTGCCACGTTGTTTATGGTATGCTGCAGAGTAAACAGGGGGCAGCGTTTCCCTTTTTACAAAATGTTACTGTTTTGTAAATCTGCCCGAGTGCTCTGTATTTTGTTGTCCATTTCTGGCTGTGATGTTGCTCGACAATAGCTCGGTCGGTGTGAGAGCCAACACCGGCAAGCCAATGAGCCCGAAACTCCTGCCGTGTGTATCCTTAATCGGCGTCGCATGGTGGGATCTCCTGCTGTGCCAGGAATAATGAGACCTTGGATTTGTGGAGACGGTTTCCTCGTTAATTCCATAATGCGCGAGTGATTGGACAGGGTTGTTGTCCTTTTAAAGGGGAATCTAATGTGCTCACTACACCCCCCACCCCCACCTTCCTTAGCCTGTGCTCCACTCTTATTTTGTTAAGGCTTCGTAGCCACCAAGGAATTGGAGCTTAATGATGAGAGGCGGGGGGGGGCTACATGGCTGATTAACCTTCCTCCGTCGCTCTGTCTCACTGGATTTGGCCTCACTATGGCACACCCATAATTAGTGCAGGTGAGTTGAAGGATAATTGTGGGATACTAGGTTGGTGGGTAGGTTTTGTAAATAGCCTGTCAGCTGTAGTACAGGCCCTGGCGTTTTGCCGAGTGATGGAGACGGGGGCGGTCTTCTGGCGCTTTGGACATCTGCGAAAAAGAGCTATGTAGCTCATCGGATTCCTCCAGTATAAATACATATTTTGATTCATTCTGCTTTTGGTTTTTTTTTCCCCAAGCGTCGGATGCTCGTACTGGAGACGAGGACAAGGATGCTGGCTTCTCCAGCCCGGGAGAAGGACCCGAGGACACGCCCACCAGCAAATCCCGGCTCAAGTTTCTCGACATTGGGTTTGTGACCTGCAGCCAGAAAACACTCGTATCAGGGTCAGCAAACCCAGCACACCACGTCCAGCGTACCTCTCACTGGCTGTGTCTACTAGTCCCCGTACCACCTACTCCTTTCTGCCATTGGCCCGGGAAGTATTCAGTGAGAGATTTAGCCCTGAATAAATCTGATTCGCTTTAGCTTTTAAACTATTTTAAATAGTGCATCAAACACACGAGGTTTTAGACGACAATTTCCATTGAGAGTTGTTAGCTTCGCGAACATTCCCTAAACGAGATAATTATTCAGAGGAAGCATGGATTTGCCTGACGACACTTTTTATTTTGCTGTCTCTTACATGCGATGTAAATGAATTCACAATAACTTACCATTGACTATGAACACATTTGTTTTTAACGTGCAAAGATTTTGTTTTTTCAATATTTTTCCCATCCTATATGTAACGTGAAAGTAAATAAAATATTCAAGAATAATACATTTAAATTAGCAGCAGAATGTAAAATCAATTGCTTGTAATGTAAAAAGACATTGCATTCTTGGATAGATATAATTTATATATCCATATCTAATTTATATATACTGTATGTATATATAGATAGGCAAAGGAAGATGGATTATCAAGGTTTTGAGACAGATAATTTGTTTTAAAACAGTATAGATTTCCTGGAGCAGATGTAATAAAATTGCAACCTAATAATAGAGGGTCTGACATATTCAGGACATGTAATCTTTATTTTTGTTAAATAAAAAGACAGGAAAACCGAATGCTGCTTTTCTACTGATTTCAAACATGACGTGCCTGCCAGAAAAATGTTAGGTGAGAAAAGTGATAGGTTGACAGCCACTTGTGTTGAGCAAAAATGCCGTTTGCAAATCAACACAACGGCCGAACAACACCAACAAAAACTCTTACTATGTCCCTGAATCTCACATTGTGAACACTGGGGGGAAAAAATGCACGGTAAAAGTAACAGGCCACTTTAGACACAACAGTGTAAGTGTACTATTGTAGCCTTCTAAATATTGGCATACAAATTGCACCCCAACAGTGGAGCAAAAGCGTGCTACGTTTAAGCTGTACTTTTCCCCCACAATACATTTTGAAATTGCAGTGATTTCAATGTGTGCGCCCGAATAACACGTCGCGTCCCCAAGTGTCCGCTGGCGTCCGTGTGACAATGCGGGGCGAGTTTAACCCCCGGAGCCACTGCCGGCATCCGCCTTCAGCAAAGTGCCCTTTGATGTGCCCCCCGTTTGATTGGTTGATGCTCGCTCCCCGATTGCGCTCCCTCGGGACGGCAAGGGGCAGAACAACGAGGCTGCTTTGTTCGCAAGAACAGCGCCAAGGTTAACCGTGAGTGGCGAACGCTTCGCGGAGGGAAACAGCAAGGTCGATGAATAAGCCGAGTCAACTGGGCCTGATGTGTGTTTTTTTATCAGCACGGCCGCTCTGACCCTTTGCCTAAGGATGCCGGTTATTAATAGCCAATCACCGAACACCGGTTCCCTGCACCGCGACGAATGCGGTCAAGTAAGGGATCGGGTGTTCCAGCGTGGCGGTGGGGCGGCCGATCGCCGGCATTCGGGAGTTTTGGGATTTTGTCATGGGACCGCCCCGGCAAGGCACCGCAGCTGTGCGTAACTGTCGTCGGAAAAATATTTCATGCTATGCAGGCTTCGTTTTTTTTACAATGTTGCCAATTTACACCTGTTATGTTGGCTTTTACTTTTTTAGATTTCTCATTGAATGATCGCGAAAGTTTTTTTTTTTTCCCTTGGGATGTAATATCGTGGTTTTTCACTAGTTTCACACTCTGGGAGCACCTTCAGCGAGACGTCAGGTATCATACCGAACAAAACACGCCAACAAGCCCGAAAATACATCAGAAAGCAATCCAGCACAACTGTGAAATCCTACGCACTTGTACGTAACATCATGGTTAACAAGACCTGGTAAATTCTAATCAAAAGAAGCCACATGCAGTAGCCGCATATTCCATCACGCTTCCTGTTTCGTTCAACTCGGTGTTCCCCTTCATGTTTTACACCGCAGCTCTCAGTGCCGGTGGAAGTGACTTTCTTTTATTCGTATTGCATAATTATTATGCAATCAAATCGATGTGGTGCAGGCGCTCCGGCTCCGCTTCATTAGACCCCCATGTGCCTCTCGCTTCCCGAGGTCATTCCATTTTTTCAGCAGGAAGGCCCTGGAGGCTCGCTTAATATTTGCCACATACCATGTGTGACCACCTTGGGACCAGAGCAAAGCAGTTTCAGAATAGGTCATTCACGTGAGTTACAGTGACGGGAGGTCGTTATCGCCGCCTGCTTATCTGCGAGGTGAGTTCTTTTTTATGGATTGGAGTTATAGGTATAATCGTAACTACCGGGAATCGCTTCGGACACCGGTGTTGTGATGCAGCAGCAGCAGCAGTATGCATACCAACAGGGATATTTTATTGCCGGCAACAACCTAACGAGCATGGCGACGACGACGACGATGATGAGATGGGGAGGCCTTGTCGTCTCTCCCGCACGGTGACTGATGGCCGTGTGTTCTCTCCCGCGCAGGGCCTCGCTGCGGCGATCGGGCCGAGGGAGGAAGTCTGAGAAGGACCAGCGGGCGTCCACGCTGCCCAGGTGAGTCGCAGTGGCTCGCAGACCCAGTTGCCTTCGACACAGACATGCTGCATCTACGTACGTATAATAACTAAGATCTCGCAGATATTAGTACGAACCGTTGGCGCAAGTGCTGTTAGCGAGTGCCTGTTAAGCCCGCTCACGGCCAACACCAGCGACGATTATCTGAACCGGTCCTGGGCCTCCTCTAGGTCGACTTAGCCTCAAATTGAGTACAGGCGACCCCCGCGCCTACGACTTAATTGGTTCCTGGACGGTCTCAAGTGGAGCCGTCGTAAGTTGAACCCTCATTCCCCATATGCACGATGTTATAAATTGGGGTTCCGTTCCTGGAAACCCATTACATACCATTCAAATACCAAAATTGACCCAGAAAATACATGAAAGTAACCCTAACAAACATTTATTGTAACTTAACATAACTTTTATAAACATTAAGTAAAATCAAACACATTTGAAATTTCTTCATGTGCATCACATTTCCTCTTCTCAGACATAGCGGAAGGCGACAATTCTTCAAAATGTTTAGAAAAAGTGAAGAGCGTTGCTAACCAGACTCTTCGTTTGCTCTAAGCGCAGCAGCAGCCTGTCGGGCTATACTGTACATACCCATACGGCAGAAGAGCAAAGCAGCGCCATCAGGCGACGAGTCTGAGCATAACATGTGGCCTGTACACCACTACTATACACTACTATACACTACACTACCATAAACTACTATACACTACGCTACTATACACTACACTAAGAGTCTGCGCACGCAGACTCGTCGCCAATCGACCCGGCGTCGGTAGCAATCGTTAGGCGGTCGTAGATGCGAGTTTTGGTCGTTACTGTGTGGGGGGGCGGGGGTTTACTGAATATGAGAAAGGTCATAAAAGCAAGTCGAGTCATCGTAAGTCAGGTGTCACCTGTACCTGGTGCGGTGTGTAAACATCGCCACGAGGGAGACAAAGGCGGCTGAGCGTGGTGTTGGCCACCCACCCGCTCGTGTGCCGTGCCGGCCTTCATAGGTGCTCGCTAACAGTACTTGCCTTGTTCGAGGCTATATGAGAGATCTTCGTCTTTGTTAAGACCTGCACGGCGCACGAAGGGGTGGTGTAACCAGGACACGTGCCCGGCCGCCTGTATCTCACATATCGGGATAGCTTCGCACCGGAATGCCAAGCATGGGTCCGAATCGTCACCGATATTGTCATTGATACCATGCATAGCTTGTCATTTAGGGTCGAGTTGACCGAGGACTGGCCAGGGACCGGTTCAGATAACCACCGTTGATGTTAGTCTTGGCCGGGAATCAAACGCAGGTCACCGGGTTCGTAGGCGCGGCGCACTGACTGGGTGACCACGGTTCCGCCCGTGCACGCGCAGGTCATTGGCACTCGCTCTGAATCGCGACATTCACACGGGTGACATTTAACCACCAGTTGGAATTACACGATTAGCTCTGGTGGCATTTGCAGACGAAAGTAGGCAAATAAATTGATGAAATGGCCTTATTTGTAAATGCGTCTTGTTGAAGCTTTCATTTGGAAGCCCAAATAGCAACGGTGATGATTATTACAAGTTAATTGATGTCTTCATTTTGCTAACCATCTTTGCAAAAAGTCTCAAATCTAAGCAGTGTAGGTTGCAAAAAAGTTTTTTGGATTATTAAAATACACTGAACAATGACAGAGCACTGAGTCGGCAACACTGACACACTGGGTTTTAATCTGGGTTTCAGCCACCCATGATTAAAACATGTTTTCAAGTGTAATGAGTTCATGATCTTAGCCTGGTCGCCAATGACTGTGCACAAATTTGGCTGTTCACCTAATCCAGCCGATTTCCAGCTCTGTCAATTCTAAAATGTTTCATTTGATTGACTGGCAGCAAACACACTTCGCAGGGGTATATATAATGTGTACTGCCAGTGTAGACAAAGAGGCCCCTTTGAAGGGAATTCAGAAGTATAGCAAGTAGGCTTTCGCGACCAATATCCTATATATTGGTTTTTTTTGGGTTAGATCGTGTAAATATAAATCCGCCACCACCCGACACAGCTAATTAGTAAGGTTTGTCACGTAAACAGAACATACCAATTCATTACTAGTACAGCACACCGGTGTGTTGGAGAGCAAATCCACATAATTTTTCAATCTGAGTACGATGTTTCGCCGGTAATTGCAACGTGCATCATCAGGCAGACAACCAGATTTTTGGAGAAAACCCCCTGTTTTTCCACAAATCAGATTGTAAATGCTCTGGATTTGCTCTCCAACACACTGCTGTGTTGTACTAGTAACACATTGGCATGTCATTAATTCAGAAGTAGTTCTGTTACACCATCTTTCAGAGCCATTCTCCAACAATTTGGCACAATGCTTACTGTCAGGGTTCAGAGGGGGAGCTTTTCCTCATCTCAAAATACGACTGCGAAAGCTCACCAGGGAATTAATTTGTAGAGGCAACAATATGCACTGCATGTGTACACCTGTTATGCGTAAATGCGTGTACAGTATTACCTCGTTATTCATTAACTTGCTATTCGCGATCTTAGCTATCCGCGAATCGCATCTGGAACTCTACACGACTGCATCTCGAGAGAGAAAGAGAGAAAGTTAGTGATGAGATAAAGTGAGGAGAGAGAATGTGATGAAAGATAAAGTGATGATAGAGAATGTGACGTGAGAAAGTGCTGAGCTAAAATGATGAGAGAGAAGAGATGAGAGAGATAGAGAGAGAAATAACTTTGTGAAGCTTTAGAAGCATCTGCTAACGTTGCGCATACGATATTCGTAGGCCAATATCATTATCCACGAAATTTGCTATTCACAAGCATCTCCGGAACGCATCCCTTGAGAGTAACGAGGGAAAACTGTAATATATGTAAAGTCCGTGCGTAGGGAAATAAAATTCGTAAGAGAACGTAATTGAAGACAGATGGCCACAGATGAATTTAACACTATTGTTCGAGGCGTGGCATTCGATTTGGAAGTCGCTTTTACCCACGCAGATAAAAAAAAACTGCCCTACACTTTACTTCGTAACCATTATACAGTGTAACACTGACTAAAATATATCAATCACACCGACTTGCTCCTCCAAATCGCTGCACAACCCTAGAAACTTAAAAGGCACCTCTGTAATAAGCCGCGGGAAAGAGCAGCATTCCCCGCGATTCCTATTGTGGTTTTGTATTCCCTGTGCGATCAATCACTGAGCCCCATCGCCACCGTATTACCTATTAATACTCCTTGCCAGGGTTGTAAACATTCCCAATTAGAGGCTTTTAGGTTTACAGAGGTGGAAATAGTTTTCAGTTTTATTGGATGGCATGTATTCACTGCGCAATGCATGCTTGCTATTGCACCAATGTTGTGCCCCGTCTCCCTACATTTGTATTTTTTTTACAAAGTCTCCCATTGACAAAGAGAAGCACTGTCTATTTGCAGTGGATCTCCTATTGGGTTTAAATAAACCCTATTGCATAATATCAATGATTGCACTGTGTCTGGGTTGTTATCGCATTTCATGCAAAACCACAGCAAAGCCAACGGACAAAACAAATGTTAGCCCAGCCTACTCTGCACGCATGTGACCTGGGCCTCCCCTAGGTCTGCTCAACCCAAATTAAGTACTGTGTGTGTCAACACTGGCAGTGGTTTTTAGAGAAAGGCAGTCTTAAGCGGTAGCCCGGGTGGCTCTGTCGTCTCGGCTGACACTGCTGAGATCCTGGATTTGAATGCATTTGATTAAGTTTGCAAGTGCAGTCGATAGGTATAAGCCCATTCGTCAATGGATAAAAACTAAACACTAAGTTATTTTTATTTTACCAGGTCAGGCCCGCTGAGCTATAGATCTCTATTTCAGAAATAACTTGGCCATAAAATGATCGCTCAACGAAGTGGCTAAATGCAGAGGGAAAACCCGGAGGACCTGGAGAAAGATCCGCAGAACCACAGGGAGTTAGACATGCAAACTCCAAATATGCAGGCGTCAGGATTGGGATCGAACCCACGACCTCCTGTGTACACTAGGCAAAGTAGTTAACATCTCGCCACCACTGCACCCATAACCTCCACATGAAATTTGGTTCTGTGCTTAATTGTCTAAACTCCAGCTCCCCGTTTCCATGGACTGTTCTCGTAGCTCATAGGGTCACTCGCACGGCTCTGCAAGAGATCTGAATGGATTTTTCATCTGGTGGAAATGCCGATAGCACACTCAGAATAAAACTGACAAGATTTGAAACGAAAAGAGCACAGAACCGCTCGATAAAACAAATCTTTTAAAACTATAAGGGCAGTACGATATGCCTGTCGTTGGCCACACCGCCACCTCGTATGTGCCACGGCTGTCTTACTCGGCGCTCGCTAAATGGGGAATCGGTGTTCTTTGCATCCCCAGAGATGGAGGGGACGCGGATGGCGGTGTGGCTGTGGGGCCAGACATGGCTTCTTCGTCTTGCATGCCCTTCCTCTTCACTCGCAAGGGCTCCTTCTCTTCCACCAGCTCTGCCGAGCCGGGCTCCGTGAACGCCAGCCCCGAGAAGCGCCGTGCCAGGGTAGGTACCCAGCACTTGCGGGAACGGACGCGTGGGTCCGATTTCCTGCTCACGGCCACCAACACCAGTGACAGTTGTCTGAACCGGTACTGGGCCTCCCCTAGCTCGACTCGGCCTCAAAGGAGAATCTTGTGCGGTGTGTAAACGTTGCCACTGGGGAGACAAAGGCGGCCGGGCGTGGTGCTGGCCACCCTGTGTGCCATGCCGGCCTTCATAGGCGCTCGCTTAACAGCATTTGCCCTAAGTCTGTTTGGGCTATAGGGGGATCTTTGTCTTTGAGTATGGAAAACGATAAGAGGTATAACAATTATCTATGGCTACTTGCTATGTAGGTTTTAGCAGTTATGTCCAATGTGTTTAGTTTGTACTGCGAGTTTTTCGACATGATGTCTGACTTTTCGCTCAATATGCTGGGAGCCTCATAGGATGTTCAAGTCGTATCGAAACGTCGGACATCATGCCGAACAACATGCGGCACAGCTCAAAAACGCCTCAAAGATCTATTAATTTAGTTGCTACCCATAGTTAATTATAATGGACCGTACATATTTCAGATGACTCTCCTCAGCACTATCTTTTTTGCTGCTAGAAATATCTTACATGGTTTGATGCTGTTGTCCTTATCACCAATTTTTTGCCAGCAGGGTGGTACATTGGTAACACTTGCCTCAGAGAAAGAAGCACCTGGGTTCGATTCCGGGGTCTGACTGCTTTCTGTGTGGAGTGTGTATGTTCTCCCCCTGTTCTGCATGGGTGTCCTCCGTGTTCTTCGGTTTCAGCCCAAGCAACAGCAACAAAAAACAGTGCATCTGGTATTGACCAAACATCACATTACTCAATTGAGATTTCTCAAAGACACAATCCCCCCTACTGTGAAAACTTGGCAGGGCCCTCCTTAAAATAGTATCTTGAGACTCAGTGAGGCTTTTCTGGGTAAGCAAGTATAGCAAAAAATAATACTCTGTATTTGTAGTGCAACACTTTTGTTTGTGATCTTTGCCCTTATTTAAATTCAACATCGGTAATCCTATATTTAGTTCCTCTAGGATTCACTGAGGTGTCTTTGTTCAGGATCATGATTCAGTTCACGAAATAGATGTTATATTTTTATTGTAATAAAATGAAAAAATAATACATAGCGGTGGAATAAACATACATTTAGAAAATAATAATTTATCGTATTCACAGTTGAATGCATGTGTCGTGCCCTGAGCAATCGATCTCAATTGAAATTTTTTTACGTGCCTAGAAAAAACAGTGCGTCCACAGTCTTGGCGAGGTTTTGTTCCTGAGGGAATTCATCCCATTTAGACTCAGCAGCAAGGCCCCTGTAGCTCTTATGAAATGACAATTTTAACGTTCTAGAGATTCGTTTAGAAAATTTATATCTAACATAAAATGTCCACTGTTCAATTCTGGAGTGGGTGAGTGGGTCCAATGTGGTGCTGACGATGCAGTGCCATAGCGACTGACCTGTCAGCTGATAGGGAATGCTGATTTATTTGTCTCTACTTCAGAGACAGACAGTTTTGCATTGGACCAATTTCACGGGCGACCGCTTGGAGGTTTCTATTTAATCGTGGCTCTGGCGGGCAGGTTTAATCAGTGGGGCTTGTTTACTGCAGCAGGGGGGCAGAGGTCACTGCAACACTGCGCTGGCATTTCCTGCAGTGGAGCCGACAGGATGGCAGGGGGGTGGTGCTGCCCTCTGCCATTGTGGATGCCAGCTGTGTCTCATTTTTGAGCTTTGCTGGAGTGTAAACTGCCGGCGCGTTTACGTGCGTGCGTCTCTGGGTCTCTCCAAGAACGGCGCTACGCTCGTATTTGACATGGCAGCAAAACATTTTCACCTTTTTACGGCAAACAAAAAATAAATTATCCACTTGGTGTAAGGGATGTCAATAAGATTCACGTTAACTGTCAAGGAGCCCCCGACGATGGTATCGCTGGGAATTTGAGTGAAGCCACTGAATGCAGCGGAGTGTTTATTTGATAATGTAATCACGGTCGAATTTATCGGTGGTGCAATGATTCGCTCCGCTGACAATGTTATGAATCGTTGCTATTAATGGCCACAGCTCGATTCAATAAATTATTATTATAATTATCATTGTTTTAAATTGTGTTGAATGTAGCGGACGCTTGTGTCTGCAAGTGTGAAATGAACCTGCTGCATGCACCGTATACGAAACAAAAAACATTGATTCTTACGCATGCAGCTTTATGCGTGTATCCCAGGCTTGAGAGTCGATATTTACTGTTGATTCGATGCATTGGTATGTCATTTATTATATGATTGTACAAAATATGCATTCATAAAGCATCCAAATGAGATTGCTTTTGAAGGTGCTGTATACGTAAAGGTGAACACAAATTCTTAGTGGAATGGGAACACATTTACTCATACTAGTTTCACATAGAGTGGCAAGATCTCGTCCAACAATATACCCTATCTGTGGTGGCGGGCCATAATTGACACCTGCAGACAAAGCTTTATACCCTTCTCATATCGTTCCCTTGTGTTCTCCCTATTATTTCTATAATTGTAAAATAGATTTACTCAGTGTGCCGAGTGTGCTCCGCCACGTGTCTAAATTACATAATCCAAGCTACATTTATCTCCTGTTATTTTATTCATGCGGTGACCTTTTCTCGAAGTTAATATCCCGTGCACTGGTTCAGAGGAACAAATCACGGCAGCGCTCATTCAAAACATCGACATCAATTTCCAAAAGGGCGAGGCCGGATGAGCGCATCGTGACCAAATAAATATCCATTGCGGCCGGAACCACAGCGGAGAAAATCACGCCACTCACGGAACCAATGGGGCCTCTTGCCCAGCAGTCGCGTTAACCACGTGCCGTTCTATTTAACATTACATTCATATTTTTCATCAAAGCGAACACAGAAACACAGGAGCAGGATGATACAAGGGGAAGATGTGTTCAGTGTAGGGGGATGGATCTCCGAGAATAACCTGGTTGTAAGTTTAAAGCAGGAAAGGGGGACGCAAGAGGAAAGAGAGAGAAAAGAGTGGAATTATGCGGTAAGATGATTGAGCTGGCAGGGAGCCAACTAACTGGCGGGCAACACCTTGCTAGGGTCGGCCAGCAAGCGCTGTACAAAGACACCAAGGTGTCCTTGTGTGCGCGTACACCTCCACGCATAAGATTCGGACAAAATTTCTCAAGTGTCGAGTTTCAGGTTTATTTAGTTGATCCAGGCGAGAACCCAAGAGACCAGGATTAGTCTAATTTTCAAGAATGACCTGGGGAATGGATCTGCCAGGAGGGGCGATGATTGCTGCTATGTGCAATCCCAATTGTGTAATTTGTGATGCGCTTGGTGAAATTTTACCCTGAGAGTGGATAGATGGTGAGTTTTCCGTGTTCTGTATTTTAAACCACTCAAAAGCAGGTCTATAGGCTTTGTTTTGGCTAGATGAGTGCATATACATGTCATTTAAACACACGCAACATCCACCAGAAAAAATACTATTACGAAATTTATCTTCCACATCTGTACATCTTGCATAGCCTGATATCGGCCGTGTGCCTTAATGGAACTGCAATCGATAAACACAGCACAGCTTCCAAAATAACAAAGTAGGAATTATGCAACACGGCGCGAGACCGCGATACCATTCAACTCCGTGTGCTGTGCAGCGAGATGGCTCGGACTGCAGCACCACCTCGCGTGTGGATTTGCCGTGCACGTGCCCCCTACCCCCAGACGCCTTCGGCCACGATGCATTTGTTATGCTGGCCACGACGCTGACCGTTGCACGCCCGCCCGCCCGCCAGCCGAACGCGTGCAACTCCCGAGCGGAGCTTCCAGGGATATGGGCCGTGTTGGGCTCCAGTGCCCTAAACGAAGCCAGCCCGCGTGTGAATCCATCGTAACAATCGATACTCGAACCACTGATGTCAAAGCAAGGGATTTTGGGGCTGTGGCTTTGTCGTCAGCATCTTTACGGGTTGCTCCCGAACGCACCGGCGACCGGGCAACGTCCACCGAGGAGATGAAGTGGACGTTGCTCGGAGATGGCGCGTAAACACCGCCGTGATTGAATAGGCCGTGAAGCTGCGTCGTGTCGAGCGAGCTCCCGGCAGGGAGCGCCCGTTTTTGTCGCTGAAGCCACGTTCGCCATAAATGGAGGCCGCGTACTGCGTTCAGCCGGGAAACATTTGCGGAATCCCGTGAGGGCCGTCCTGGGGAGGGGCGTCCGGCACTTGACATGCCGCAGACTGCGAGAGGCGCGGCACAAGGCGGAAGGAGCGCCCCGGGCCCTTCCCGTCGCTCGCCTGCCAACATGTGGCCCGCGCTGCAGACTGCAGACGTAAATAAGCTTTGTCCGTCTTGTGCTATACAATAGTAGCCCTTAATCCACACCCCTGCTGCCCGAGGAGGATTATCGATTCGCGCTGCTTTTGTACACGTGCAAATTCGTTTTATATTCACTAACATTTATCTACTGTGTAAAAGTTTTTCAGGATGTTTTTTTTTAAACATCTGTGCATTGGCTCAGATATGTAACCAGCTTTAAGAGGCCCAAAATGAGAAACCCTTCTCCTGATTGGACAGAAATGTGAGATTTGGTTTCGTAAGACTTGGAGGTCATCTGGCACCGGTAGGTGAGCGCAGAGCACTCAACAATTACAACTATTTCAATTTACATTGCATCTAAATTCAACGGCATCTCAAGAGGCTTTATACTGTATATATGCGGTAAGAAGGTGCAATGGGGGTGGTTGGGACCCAGACTCATGGGAGAGAGGAGAGAGAGCGACGCTGTATCCCAGGCCTCAGGCCAACAAGGAGGCTAAGTCCAAGGGGACGGAGTAACCGGGGCGCCAATGTCAATGGGTCTCAGGGATGACAAAAGGAGCTGAGAACCAACGGAGCCCAGGCACGGCTGGGGCAACCAGGGCACCACCAACAAACCTAGGGCAGGCCTGAAGTGCCGGGGGGCTCTTCCAGTTCCCCTTACTGCCGTGTCTGATGATTCTGTAAGGAGTGGAAACGTCCTGCATGTTCAGTGTGTCCCCAGTGTGGTATGAGCCCAGTGCCACAGTGGCAAGATGTTAACTACCTCGCCAGGTATGCAGGAGGTCATGAGTTTGATCCTGACCCTGTCGCCAGCTGTATGTTTGGAGTTTGCATGTTTTCCCCGTGGTCGCGTGGATTTTTCTCCGGGTCTTCCGGTTTTTTCCACCACATTAGAAACATGCGTTAGAAAAATCGATCCTCTAGTATGCGTGGGTTTCCTCTGGGTACACCATTCCTAATACAATAATCATTTAAGGATTTGACCAAACATCCTGCTCTAGGATCCTGCTGAAAATTATTTTTTCTAAGACTTAGGCTTTTCTAGATAAATAAAGGGATATATTAATATTTTCATTTGGCTTCACCAAATGAACTGTGGAATGATTTGCACGGCTAGACTGAACGTACGGTTAGCCATGTGCGAAATAAAATGTCCAAGCTTCTCGGGACATCGTCTGATTAGTGCTCTGCCACCATTTCGATATTTCTGTTACGTTCTTTCACCGTCTCGTTCTTCAAAGTGTCGTGATAAAATCTGGTTTAGTCTACCAAATGTATTGCTAATGCAAACTGGTTTACATTGCTCCTGATGCTGTCCAGCTCCATAACGCTGATCTTAAAGATATTTTCGCTGTATCAGGTGTGTAAGCGCCACCCAGTGGCTCTGTGTGACATTGCTGTGAATGTGCTCGACGGTGAAAGATTTCTACTCCCGGCGTACGTTTCACAGTTGTGCTCTGTAGCTTTCTGATGCGTGCTCGGCTCGTACCGCCTGTTGTTTGGCACGACGTCCGACGTTTTGCTGCACGTGCTGGGAGCTTCTTCAAGGAACATACACTGAGGCATCCCAGCGCATGGAGGAAAACGCCCTAACGACCCGAACACGCATCCGAGATCCGTAAAGAGTTCTGTCTGTTACTAACCAGCCTTCTGTGTCCTCACCTCTCCCAGGCCACTCTCTCCTGGCCCTCTGTTTTCAGCCGAACCTCGCTGGAGACGGTACGCCTCTCGCTTTCCTTCCTCACCGCTCTCACCTAAGCTGTTCCGATCTCCCAGGGGGCTGACTGACCCATGTAGCCCCCGAGCTCCTACCAAGTGAATCGAGCGGCTCCGGCGCATGAGTGTGTGAATTCCTGAGCGTTCGCCGTTTTGTAAATAAATAGGGGCGTAATTTCATCGTGTATTTGAGGACGTTCCCTTGTGCATTGCAATCCAGAGCAGATCCCTAGTTGGGACTCAGATTTTAGTGAAAATAAATGCACTCTTCAAAAAAAATAACATTCGGATATTTCCAAATAACACGGGCTGTGAAAGCGCATGGGAAGGACCAGAATTACATGTTGCTGATGGAGTTTGTTCACTTGCGACATTCAGCCGTTGAGAAATGTCCGCTTCCTTGATTCGGAAATAAAAATTAACTACGAACGTTTCATAATGAATCCACTTATGAGACTGTCATTTTTCCAGAAGCGCAAATTGTAAATTGGCTTTGGACGAGACGAGGAATAACTGGCATAACGATGGCACAGTGCACCAAAATGCGGTTGTCGCATTATCCGGCCATAGGTGTGACACATTCCTGCGATTTGGTGCGATGTTTACCACACGAGCCTAAGGAACTTGAGAAACACCTTTGTAACCCTCACGATGACTGATGCAGTCGTGCATGCAAAAACTCGTTTTTGATTAACGTCTTTCTGTCCATTTGCCAAATGCATGTCGAATATTGTTCACGTCTAATGCTGCGTATTTTGCCTTGCTCTAACGACACAGAATTCACAGTGCTTACAGTGACAGATATGTCACTTTCTGTGCTGGTGCTGGGGAAAATCTGTTTGATGATGTTATACAATGTCCATTGTGAATCGGATAACTTTCCGTTCTTCAGCGGATTGTGCGAATGTATGTGAGCTGTTTGTTCGTGTCCATGTGTAGTCGGTGAATCTGGTGAAATTAATGCTCTGTGGGGCCCCCATTGGTTGCATGTGGGTGTGCATTTGTCTCTCTGTATGTGATGTGTCATGTTGAGGAATACGCACAGTGGTTCGCACTGTACTCTGAACCCGGCAAATCGTAGTTCGGTTCCTGGCCACGGATAGCATCGTCGGCGAGTGACATCTCAACTTGTCCGCGGATCTCACCTCGGTCAACTCTGCCTTTATCGCGTTTATGGATGGTGTAAACATCGGCAGAGGGGAGATGTGGTTATGGCCACACTACACTCTTTGGAAAAAAACACCGTTCTCTCGTGCGTTATTGTGCCAGGCTTAATACCTTAGGTGCTTACGTAGAGTGCTTTCCCCAACAGTCTGTATCTTATATGTGGGCGGGGGGGGGGAGTCTTTGTGTGTGTGTGTAGTGGTTAGCAAACTGCACTACAAACCCTGTGACCTGGGTGGAAATGCTGGCTATGGCCTACGTAAGTGACAAGTAACATCTGAACTGGACCTGGACACCTTAAACGAGTACCTGGTGCGTTGTGTAAACCTCAGCACTGGGGAGACAAGGTGGCCAGGCGTGATATTGGGAACACCACCACCTCGTGTGCTGTGCAAATCTTCATAAATTCTCACGAATAGCACTTTCCCCAAAAGTCTGTTAACGCTATACACCTTTGTTTAAGTGTATATATGTGCAAATAGTTTTTTGCAGTTGTGTCTGTCTTGTTATGTATTTGTGTATGTGCGCGGGCGTATTTTCGCGTGCTTAAGTTCTGTATATGCGTCTTGATGTATGTAAGTAGGTGTGTGTTTGTCTTTGTGCATGCGTGGAGGGGGGTGTGTGTCAACCCTGCCGTGATGGCACTGCTGCTCCCCCGCCCCCCCCATTGCTAGGCATTCAGTGGGGAATTCAGCCCCAGCAGCACGAGCTCGCTGGAAATGCCCGGTCTGGTAGCAGAGTCCAGAGTCAGGGGCCGCTCACACACACTAACCCTTTCCTCTGAGGAGGTATGACCACTGACTTGTCACGGGCCGGGACGGCGCCTGCCGAGGGCACTGCCGCTCGCAGCGAGGATTCTCAAGATTGTCGCAAAAGCGAACCGTTAAACGGGGAGAGAGAGAGAGAGAAACAACAGGCTCCGTTCGGAGCGTAAATGTTTCATTACAGCCTCATTCTTTGCCCCCCCCCCTCCCCCGACCTCTCTCTCTCTCTCTCCAATGCTGCGGCGAAAAAACAAATCTCGCCAGTCGCCCTGTAACTAGAGCAGAGTGCGTAGCAATGCATGGGTTGGAGTTCACGCAGAGGTCCGAGTGGAGCAGGACTCTGGTGTCTAGTAATAGGTTTTTTACCCTTTCAACTGGTACAAAAACTGACACCTTTATACAAGGCATCATGTTTGTTTGCAATAACCACAACACAAGCAGTCAAAATGCAAAAAAAAAACTCTGATGATGATAATGATCTGCACTGTCCTTGAAGTTGATTGGTCCACACCCGAGACAGCTTTTCTTAGAGCCTAGTCTCCATTGGTGTTGGACCAGATGACGCCAAAAGGCTGTAGTTAAAGAGAGCATTGCTGCGTTGAAATGGGCAAAAACGAGCTTATTGGCCAACGATCACTTCCGAACCAGAATCATTTGTCACGAATTATTTAATGAATAAGCGTTCATTGTGTAAAAATGATGCCACGACCTATACAGTATGTATGTTTTGTAGATTGTCAGTAAAATAATAATATGTTCAAAAGCACTCTCTGGGCCTATGCTTCTGCTGCTGATGCTCCTAATCAATGGACCGTTTCACTCTTGAGAATCCTGTTCTGTGATGCTGGTGCGTCATTTATCATTTCTTGCGCATCCCTGTGACTCATTCTTTAATGGCGTCTCTGCAACATCCCACATCCCTCCTGCTTGCGAATAAGAGTTTGTAACCCTTCCTCATTGTTTCCTTTCCACCAAGGTAAAGTCGTCCATTGCATGGCTTCCACCATCACATTCTAATCAAATAATATGTGCCTGGACAGTATTGGTATGGCATTGTACTGCCATTCATTCATTCAAGGACTGCCTCATGGGATATTTCAGTTCAAGTCAAAGGTTGTTTACGAGCTGTAAAAAAAACATTTTAAAGAGTTTGTATGAAATATAATTGTATTGTTATAGCTTTTTGTCACAGTATAAAATAATACAATGATTTCGATAAAATATTGACACAAATATAGCAAATCCCCCCCTCCTCACCAATAAAACAAAATACAATCTGATTGTAGCTGATCCAGTGGATGGCATGTTTCTCCTTCGCACCTGCTGCTAATTTTAACAATCTTGATTCTGCTGCATTTGCATACGTTTAACAGAGGTCCAACCTCACCGTTGGGCTGTCATTGTGCCTCTTAGTCACTCCCCCGTTGAGCAGCTGAGCCTTGCTTTCCGCTTTAGGAGTGAGGCCACCAGCCTCGTGGCACCCAGTCGACTACGATTTGGCACGGCTGCTCTAGCACGAGTTATTTGCGCAATGCCACTGGATGGTGGGGGGGGGGGGGTGATACGCTCGTTCGTTCGCTCCTTCGTTCGCTCCTTCATTCGTGCGCAACTCGGCTCACGGAGCGAACCACGGTGGCTTGTTGCGCGGGTGTCGCAGGGCTCCGAGGAAGCGCTGCAGTCGCCCGCGAAGCAGCAGCAGTGGGCGAACCGCACCGTGCCGGAGTGGACGCCTGAGCAGGTGTCCCAGTGGCTCGCGCAGCTCGGCATGGAGCAGCACGTGGAGGCCTTCACGACGCAGGGCGTCGACGGAAAGCAGCTGCTGCAGCTCGACAGCACCAAGCTCAAGGTTGGCCACGGCCTCCGTTACGACGGCTCTCCGCAGCCTTCCGTCGGTGTCGCTTCGTCCCCTAATCTTATTTCGATCGTGCTGACATTGTCACGTCCCTTGAGACCAGTGGTGGCAGGTGGGTAAATAAGTCCAGTTGGGGTTGTTGGAAGCCTGTAGAGCTGGAGGAAGGTGGAATAGGAAGGGAGGGGAGAGGTGCTTGCCGTTTATAATCTTTATAATGATAACATTGCAATTTCTCGGACATAAATGACCGTGGGCTCTAGTGAGCAGGTAAGTATTGTTGAGGGGTTTCCCCTCTCTTTTTTCCCTGTTGGTCACTGGGCTGAAACCATCAACTCACTATGCTTGTGAAGCCATATCTCAGCAATACCAACTCAGTGATCTGAAGTCTGAGCCACCTGATCACCTGGGTACATGGCAATTTTAGTTTTTGTCTGGCCTCGAATTTGGTTAGGACCTCATAAAGGGGGTCCTCATTTGGCATTTTTCTCCGGGCCTCCAAAAACCTTTCGACGGCGCTGACCTTCACACTCGTGTCCTCACGTGCGATGTGCCAACAGGCGCACTGCCTGTGTATCTGCGTACATCCTGCAACACGTGTGTGTCCTGCAACACCATTGGATGCTGTTGCTTTATTTTCATGCGTTGTGCGCAAATCATCCTGGTAGTTTCATAATGCACATTTGACGTGTTAACTGTCAAGAGCGTGTAATACGCCAGACCAAAACAGCAATTTAAGTTGGCTTTCTACGTGAATTTGAAATGATTTTACCAGGGCGTATCAATGACTAATTAGTCTACCACAAGCTATTTATTTTTATTTCACAGTTTTGTCATGGAAGTGTGTGTGTTTTATTCGGTTTGTCAGTGGGAAGGTTGCCCAGAAGCGCGGCGTTTTGTGAACCATCTCCCGTTCACCTTCTGCAGGCCCTGGGCGTGACGAACCTTGCGGAGCGCTCCAGCATCAAGAAGAAGCTGAAGGAGATTAGGACGGCGATAGAGAAGGAGCGCAAGGCGCAGGAGAAGATCGAGCGGCAGCGGGAGAAGCTTCGCAAGAAGGAGGAGCAGCTTAGGAAATCTCAGAGAGCCAGCAAAGTCGGCGAGGAGTCGCCCGCCACTCAGTAACACTGCGTCAGTGCGGGGGGTGGGGGGAGTTGGGGGGGGGGGGAGGGCGAGTGCCGGGGTGCTGCTTCGGCCAGGCTGAGCAGCCGCGCGATTGTGATCGTGTTTGCCCGGGAATCGACTAGACTCACCGGGTAGTAAAAAAAACACACACCCCGGCCTCAGTTGAGAAGCAGTTGCGTGCACAAAACAACAACAACAACACTACTGCGAGTGTGGGAGAGTCCTTTGCATTGACACTCGTGTAAAGAAAAAGATAATAATCGTAGGACAGTTATACAAAAATAAACCTCAGAACAACTGTAGGAGGCTCAATTGAATTCTACTCAGCTGTGACTCACCCATTGCAAAGTGCTCCGGGCACTGTGACGGACAGCCGATGCTAAAGAGTAGTTACCGTCCATTGTGCAGTGGAGGAGCCCGAACGAACATCAGCTTTACTGCAGTGATCAGCAAGTAGGCATTTCCCTTGCACCCAGACCAACCTTCGCATCCTCTTCAGCAACTAGCCCGTGATCCACTACCAAAGTCGATGCCGTTGAAAGCGGGGGCGGGGGGGGGGTATTAAAAATCTGAAATGCCGCGTACTGCTGGAGGCTTGAGAACGCATCGTAGAGTTAGTGGTGAACACCAAGGCATCTGGCGGCGGCAGGCAGTGAGGTGGCACGGCACAAAGGGTGCGCTGACCTGCACTGCCCCGTGTTGCCACCGTGATGCACGGAGTGTTTGTATACTGTTTTTTTAACTTAAAGCATATTTAGGTTATGGTGTTATTTCAAATGGGGTATTTCTCACAACATTGTAAATATTTCTACTAAACACTATATGCAGTGTTTGCATGTTTTACGTATTCATTATGGCAGGTTCTCTTTAATTCTATATAATTTTTTTTGTTTAACATTTTTACTTTTTGGTGGGTTTCTTTCAGAGGTGTGACGCTCTTTACGAGGCTTAGACGCGAACATGAATCTTAAAAAAATTATTGTGTCGGTTCAGATTTAACGCAATTACTTTACGTAAAGCCAGAACATTATACAGACTCCCCAAAGTAGATGGGGGTGGGGGGGGAAGTGCTGCATTCCAACTCTGCATGCTGGACAGCACCGGTGGCACAATCGACAGCGCTGGGGTCCTGACTCCCGAGCGCAGTCGCAGCGAGGACTCGTGCGTTTCTCATGGATTGGCACCCGGTTACACCTCGATTGATCACATGCATGGTGGTGGCGGGGTGGGGGGGTGTGGCGTTTTAACGAGACAGTATCTTGGTGACTTGGCGATCCTCAAACTCTGGCACCTCGTGCTACAGAACAAACCGACGTTGCCCATTCCTGCCAGTTTTTTTGCCGCTCGGGGGCAATTCGCCCTCTTGCTCAACATCGCACGCTTGAAACGTTGGATGCACGCGGACCGCGATGGGACCCGAGGTGCTGAAGTTTGAAAAAGGTGTGAAGGTCTGGCTGTCTTCAGGAGGCTTAAATGCTGAGGCCTTTGCCGTCACAGTGGCCTCACTCGCGCTCTTGTGAAAACCCTCTCCTTGTGTGGTCATGTGATCTGCCCCTTGGTGCAGTGATGCATGCAGGTGCCCAGCCCATAAATTAATAAGTTTTTCCCATTCGTCACTGATGATGACCTTGAACTTACTCCTTTGTTTTTCTTTCCATTTAACACAACAGCGTATTGGAAAATAACAGGTCAAATTGACAATAATATTGATAGAGGTTTTTATGACTTGTTGAAAATGAAGCTCAGTTTTTTGGCCAACTTTTGCCTTCTTTGACAAATAACATAAACAAAAATGATTCATTATCGAGCTCGTTATTTTGGGGAGCCACAGTGGCGAGACGTTATCTCCCTCGCCTGATATACAGGAGGTTGTGGGTTTAATCCAGATCCTGATGCCTGCATATTTGGAGTTTGCATTTTCTCCATGTGGTCACGTGGATTTTTCTTTGGGCTCAGTTTTTCCCTCCACATTTCGAAACATGCATTTCGATTATTTGCCTGCTATAAATTTCCACATGATAAGCCACTTGTTTGAGGCAGCCAGGTCGCTTCTGAAAAAAAGCTGTATAGCTCAGTGGGCCTTACCTGGTAAAATAAAAACTAAAGTTTAATAGTTTAGGTTAAGTACTATTTCTGTGACTACTGACCTTTATTTGACCTGTAACCCCTGGAAGCTTTTTTTCACATTCCCGTGTGTTGTTCTTTGCGAACCCCAGTTAGTTGTTTTCTAAATTTCCACATGATAAGCCACTTTGCTGAGCTATCATTTGTGGCAGGCAGGTAACTTATGACAAAGAGCTAATAGCTCAGTGGGCTTCACCTGGTAAAATAAAAGTTTATTTCCAGTTTCCCAGTCTACATACGTCTCTTATGGTGCAGTAGCATGGGATTACTTCATTTAAGGAAATATCACTTCGAGAGATGTACTTTCTCCCTCGAGAGGAGGCCCTGCTGTCCGCAGTGGTGTTAGAAAGCAAATTTCAAGGCTGGAGCGTGAATCTTTTTGCAGTCCTGTTCGTGTCTACAGACGTGGCATGGCCAGCATAACAGGTGAAAGTGCATTTCCAATGTAACATTGACCTCCGAAATACTACGATGTATATGGAATGTCATTTTGGTAATTGATTTGGAATATTAAATTTCTCATTGCTTTTCATGTTTAAAAAATGTTCAGCGTAGCGTTTATGGTAATACCGCTACACTTTAGGTTTATATAATGGTTTGGCTTTACGTACATTTTTGTTGTATATTATCTTTGTCATTGAAACGAAGTGAATTCTTCAGTCTTTTATGGAACATTCAGTTTAGAATATTTTAAATGTTTTTAACAAATTATATATGAATACATTATATACCAGCAGGCAGGAGTGCCCACCAACTTTATAAAAATTACAGAAACCTTCGCAAAGAGAGTGGGAAGATGACAATTTGATTTTCACATCATTATTACTCCCCTTTGAAGTCACCGCTTTAGTCTGACACAAATGTAACGTGGCATTACTCACGTGCAGACAACTGAGTCAAACAATAAGGGGGCTGGAAGAAAAGAAAAAACCTCACTACAGTAATATCCTGTCAAATTAAGACATGTCAAAAAATAATACTATACTCTTAACACTGCATCTGCATATTGTTTGTAATAGTGGTGGTGCTTACACCTGAGGGTAATTTTTTTTAAAATACTGACTTGACTTGAAATGTCCCCATCACAATTGACCATTTCACCTTTACAATTTTCCTGTCACCCATTACAGTGTAAGCGCCGTGCAGCGTGTACACGTGTCCCTTCCGTATTCGTCAAACGTTCGTTACGCACGACATGCAATCTTTCACTAGCTTGTGCCGTCGCTGCTCCCCAATAACGTCTGGCTTTTATTTTTTAATGTGGCTTTTGCAGGATTGCGCGATGCGTGGACTAATATCGTGGTGTCCAGTGACGTCGGCGCGACCTTTTGAGACATTTTAAAACATCTCCAAAAACATCTCGCTTTTATTTTTAAAACTTGTTATAAACCGCCATCGACGGTACACGTGCGACGCAATCTCCTCTGCCGCTGGAAACGAAGTCGATTTTTTTTCCATCTCCTCACGTTGCACCAATTCTCTACAGTAGAAATCGGCAGCGACCAGTGCCGCGTTCAGACCAGACATTTTTAAGTTGCAGCCTTGGGGGGGGCGGGGGTGGTGGTGGGTCGGGTCCAATTTTAAGAGAGTACATCCCGTGTCGGACAATTAGCAGATCCGACAAAATCTCCAGTAAAATGTGGAGAAGGGACTTCCTCCACGAGAGCGCGCGGCATGCCCTCGCTGCCCACGTCACCAAGAACACGGCCGGGTGAAACAAATATCTCCGCAAGCGAAACGTGCACATATTGAACACTGTCATTTGATACGGTAAATTTAACACGATGTAGAAATGCGTAAACGTACATCGGTGACTTTCGATAAGGGCCGGAATTTGAATTACAGCAACAACAAATAAGACTTATCTTAAATATCATTTTGACAAAACTCCGGCTGGCTAAAATGTTACAGAAAATAAATTTGGCATTGACGACACACGCGCGCGCCTTCATGGCTTGTCAATAGTCAAGGCTGGAGGTATGTTTAGCTTTGTTGACATACAGAGAGAAAGAGGATGGCCTGCCAGGTGTGGTTTCTCTATCTTTGTGACAGATTTAAAATGGTTATGTAACAAGGGATGAAATGGCACCCCCCCCCCCCCCCCACAAGACCACCAATGCAATAAATAGCCCATTGAGTTCCAAAATGTAATTGGCAGCCTGCATTTTAGAAGTGCGCACTTAAGTGGCAGTTGAAAAGGTTTGCTTTATTTGTGAACGTACGCACCCGCCTCTGTTGTCTGAAATTACCTAAAGGTTTGGCCGTGCAAACAAATGCAGGTGCAGGAAATGAGCATTCATTTGGCTCCATTTAACACTTCACTAGTAAACTTAATTTTCAGCAGCTCAGTTTAATAGAGACCAGAACGCAAATACACTTTGTTTATTTCAATGCAATTACTGAACTATGTTTCTCTACGCTCAAGCATTAGGCACAGCCATCTTTTTCTAACGAGTCCAACACATCACAATTGGGTGATCAATGTTAATGTGGGGTTTTTTTTCTCTTCCCTTAAAAGAAAGTTTTTTTTTCATTCGAAGCAATGCCATATGTCTAAAAGAATACTTGTTTAGCATGCGGTGACGGCAAGTTAACCAAGGGTGTCGGCATAAAGTGCAGTGCAGCAGAGTTTGAAGTTGACTTCGACGCCGTTTACAGGACAACGTAACGTACCCGTTACGTTTGTCCCACGTCTGAAAGCCAACCTCTCTGTACTATGCTTGCGTATAAACAAAGCCGTTTTTACCACATGGTTTACATTTGGTATGATGATGATTGCAGTCTGTGCCTGCATATCTCAGACTGGTGGGGCTCATGGACAATGAAAGCAAACAGAGAATGCACAAAAAAAATGTTAAGAGGTTTCACTGCACACTCTTTAGCTTGTGTGTAAATGCATGGGAAATGTTTGCTTTACAAAATGCCTGGTGAAAAGAATGTCTACTTTTGTGTGACCCTGGTGTACAGGGTGGTCGAGATGTCTTGTGACCCCCCCCCCCCCCCCCCACTTAATCGACCTCAAAAATGTTTTCCCTTTTGATATATTCATCTATGTTTTAAATAAACCTTACTTTAAAATATTAAGTTTTAGAGATTTAAATGGGGGTCACAAGACATCTGGACCGCCCTGAACAGCATTGCCTTTATGAAATGTGCCCGTTTCCCCCCCATGGAGCTACTGCCATCAGCCTTTAATGTATACGTTGTACATTCCATGAAGGTTCTAATAAACATGCTCGCGAGTGTTTGAGGTCCGCAGGATAATAGTGAGAATGCTTTCCTTTAATTAAAACCTCGCTCCTTGCGCGTGTAGTGCATGTCAAATATGTAATGATTAGAACAAGTGGCAGCGGGCAAAGTATGCCAGAATAAAACTACTACTGAACTGTAACGTTTTTTTCCCCACCGGCTATGCAATGAGGAGGTTAATACAGCTATAACACCACTAAAATAAAATGTGACGATTTTGGGGGTGGGGGGGGAATGTGATATTTACTGTTAAAAAGAGAAATGTATAACCCGATGAACACGAACAATGGAACTGCAAGTCTCTAGCCATTGCGCTCTTGCTACGATTGTGCGATTAATCACCCAGTCCCCGATCCCTTAAACTGGAGTAATTTGACCCTGTTTGCAAGCGTCGATAACATGTGCCTAGGAAGAACATATAAGCTCGTGTCTAAAAGCTCCTCCACTGTCGTACGATAAAAAAACATGTTTTTTTATTCTTTACCGTTTCTGGACAGTACGTTGAGTTGAGTATAATAATTGCTGTGTTAATGGGTATTGCTGAATTGTCTTTCAGAGTGGATGGTTGACTTTGGGAGATTACAAATGCCCTCCTTGTGCGTTATTCAGCAGCAACAGCGAGGAGTATTGGTTAAAAAATTAACCCGTAAAAACAAAGTTTTTCACTATAAATCCTTTATATGCGTGGCGGCTAGAGTCCTCTCGTGCTCTGGCTTGAGATGGCTGCCACCTATGGGTCAGATGATTGCTTGCCACCATTAAGCAATTGGTAATTACATATAATTTTTTTTTTCCTAAAAAGTGTAAAATTTTGGAAAAAGAAATTTCACGAAAATTAATTGTCACGCACAACGAGTCTGTGTGCAAAATGTCAGCTCGATTGGATCACGGGAAGTGGGTAAAAAAACGACCGAAAGATTTGCACGGTCGTAAGCGCGCAAGCAAGCAAGGGAACTTAATATAAAGGATTTAAAAAATGTTTAGCACACTGGTGGAGGGAGAAGATAGGCGGCTTGCGACAAGCTTTTGCTTGTCAGTTCTGTAATGTAACCTACAAAGTAAATGGCTGCTGGTGTGCAGTCGTTAGTGTAGGCTGCACTACAAATGCGGTGCAATTGTTTAGCAAATATTGCCATTTTATACGCACCTTGAATGTTGGCGAGGATTTCCCCCCCCCCCACTCTCCTTTTAAGAAAAAGAACAGGATGTTTTGCCCGTGGTTTTATTCCTAGCGGCGAAAGACGCTCACCGAGCATTGGATTCGCAAGTCACACACGTAGCACATCCTGAAACTGAGTTTTATTTTGTAAAGAATTGCCAACTTTGTCAACGCCGCACATTCCTCACACGAGTACTGCACCAATTTTGCGGTCATTACGTTTTTTGCCAATATGTTTCAGATGTCATGTTTATAGAAAAAAAACTAATTTTAACGGAACATTCTACAAATTTTTTAAGTCGATTTATTTCCACGGACAACTACTCTAAAGCATGTTGATCATTTTAATTTAACGGTGCCTTGTACCAGAGCAACTATTTTTAATGTTTTGATTAAAGGGATGCCGCTTCATGGGGCCTAGCTGAAGATTATATGCTCAAATGGTAGCAAGGGGCGAGTTGTTTTGGTAAAGTTCTTCACTTTATAACTTCTGAGTCGGTTCTCTTTGTTTGATGGACGTCATAAAGGCCATTCTATCAATTCCAGGTGGAGAGGTAGAATCCATATGTTTGCTCAAGTTTCGTGGGGTCGTATGTTAAAAGTGGTGTCTGTGCGACTGCATCGGTCTGTTTGCTCTGCTCTCCAAACTTTTTACATATATTCCACGTGAAAGAGCGCATGTGTGCAATCGTATGTGCAAGCTCATACTGGGGTTTTGGCAAACATTTATTTTGAAAACTTGTTATTGTTTTTCCAAGGCCAATCTTCAACGCTTGGAGACAAACGCTTTTGTGATGTGCTGGATGGCCTTTCAGTTTGGCCTTGCTTACCAATATATTCACGTGTGAGTTATTTACTGACATGACCGTTACGGTGGTCTCTCATACTACCAAAAACACTCGCCTTCATCTACCTGATGTATACAACTCTTCCGAGTCTCCGTAGATTAATGTCGACTTCAGGTGTTCGGTTTAATTTTGTTCGGGGATTTTTTTTTACACTTTTCCGCTAGCAAGCGGGTTGCTGCGTCCGTGTAAAACGAGGTGTAAGGAGTGTAACACGATTATGCTGCTTTTTTTTGTTGTTGTTGCAAAATTTACTGCAATAAAGCATTTGTTGCATCGATCATTTGCTGCATCGTCGAGTAAACAACATTGGGTGTCTTTATGGAGGGCAAATTTGCAAGGAAAATTAGGATGACATGGGCACGAGGTAAACAACTTTGTCTCGGCATTCATTCCCTTGTGTCTTTTTTTTTACGTGACGTCCAAAAATATAGTGGGGCACACAGGCAGAGTTCTGTGTTTTACGTTTTTTTACTGCTCTGTTAAAAATGGTTTTTGACACAGACCGAGTCTAACTTGAATGCGCACATCCTCATTGCGCCGTTTTCACCGTGTTGTGTCGTGTGTGCGTATTGTGTCGGATTTTTGTTTTCTATAATTTTCTTCGTAAGTAGACCTCGTGTTGTATTCCTCTCCCCCAGGCCAAAACGCCCATCGGAGAAATGTGACTTGATACAGAAACGTAATTTGGTTTTTAATTGAGTGTAGACCATCATTTACATACACATTGTTTACACTACCATGGAGCCCAAAGACGTGGCTGACGTTGTTTTCAACAACAACAAACATCCCCCGTGTAGCCTTAGCAGACTGTTGGGGCAAGTGCTGTTATCGAGCACCTATGAAGGCCGGAACGGAACACGAGGGGTGGGTGCCCAGCACCACACCCAACCGCCTTTGTCTCCCCAGTGGCGATGTTTACACACCGCACCGGATACTCATTTGAGGCTGTGTCGACCTAGGGGAGGCCCAGTTCAGATAATCGTCACTGATGTTGGCCGTGATCGGGAATCTTATAGGGTCGCCAGGTTGGTAGCACAGCGCTTTAACCGCTACTCTTCCGCTCCCCACATATTTGTATGATAAATATAAGGATAGTTGTTAATTATTTTTGACATGAGTACCCTTTACACCAGGGCTTGACCGGCACTTTACACGCGATGGGCGACTTATCTCAATAATTTGAAAGGGCACCCTCATTGGCAGATGTCCCTGTGGACAAAAGCTGACGTTGTACATGGCCTGCAATCTGGATGTAGTCTTCGTCTGCCAGTATGAGGCGGCGATTGCTCTGTGTAATCCCAACTGAGTAATTTACAGGTAAATTTGTATAATTTGGCAAATTTGGATTATGGTGTCAGCACACAATGTTCTCATTTCAATGACGGCAGGGATCTTTTTTACGTCCACTTTGTAAAGCAGACACCAACTATTTTTGTATGGTTGTGCCCACGGTGATAACCAGGCCAGCCGACCAGATTCCTCCGATTAGCACGGTTGGCTACGTACCTTACGAAAGAAGTTCAACATGAATACATTCTAAACCGTAAACATCTGCAACGCGCGGTGAACGCGCTAATGCTGGGTCAAATATAAGATACAGAAAGAGGAACAGACGGATTAGAAAACACGCTGGTTAAAGACGTCGTTCTAACTATTAAGGAAAGTCGGTCGGCTTGGGCAGGACACTTCACTAGAAGGCATGATAACTAACTCATGGTCAATAATAATATTGGTAGCCAATGGATGAAATGCATCCTAGGACGTCCTCCGAGGAGATGGAACAAATGAATCTGCACGTGTACAGATGCTAGGCGGATCGTTGCATCACAGAATCACGAGAGAAGGCCACAGTTTGGGGGAGACATTCATCCAACAGTGGCTTGGTCATGGCTGATGGTGATGTCAATGAAGCAAAACCAATATTCACCAATGTTTGCCAGGCTTCCAATGGGTCTTGTCAGTGGATCTCGCGCTGTTCCACGTCCGCGGCGTCATCAATACGGGGGCTTGTGACAGTGTGGTGCCACAGCGACGGGGCCGCTCTGCCGAGCCAGGGAGCCGCCCGGCTTCCCCCACCGCACTGCCCCCCATCACCCGCCCCACATAAGCACACACCCGCACGCATCCCCCCCCCCCCCCCCCCCCCATAGAGCTGGAAGGGAAGGTTACCTGATCGACCGGTTTTTATCCGAGAGACCCTTATCGGGATTAATTCTCACGGTTTCCGGCGATCAGGGAATTGGATGACCTCCCCCGTGCTACGTGGTACCGCGGCGCTGCTGCCAGCCTTAATATGGTGTGGTCGCGGCGTGGGGCATTCGGCCACCGCGGTTGAGGCGCATTTCCCCCCACACACACCCCCACGAGTCGACGGGGCAAGCAGGGGAGGCACGAGACAGCATGAATAGCGGGGTCACAGGGGCTGTTGCGCATAGTCATGGAGGGTTGGGATAATTGCGCTTGAGCGCGCAGGCCCCATTGTTAGGAAGGGTAAGGGAGCAATTAGGATGTACGCCGCCAACGTCGCTCACTGATTAGCATATCAACAGCGCCCGGGAACCGCCGTGCGCGGGCTTGGGGTGCACGAGCCCATTGTTCAGCGCAGCATCCCCTTTGAGGTAGGGAGGATAAATAGAGGAGCGGAGAGGGGAAATCGCCCCTTCTCTCCAGGCCAGCGGACCAGCAGGAGTTCCAGCCAGCGACCCGGACGTCCGTGCGACGCATCGAGGTACGCTGTTAGCGCAGAGAGCAGCGAACCTCCGCGGGCACCAAACAGTGAGTGGGGAGGTGAAGTAGGGTATCGTAAGCCGATAAACAGGGAATAGGTACAGGTTTAGTGGAATAGGCCAGCCTCGTCGACTCACTGATTCCACATCAATTCGCAGGTGGCATATAATAAATCATTAATAGCGAAGCGTGGTCTCGCGTGATCTTGTCGTGCAGTGTGAGCGTGTGGGTGCGCTGTGTGCACAGTGGTTCGCCACGTGAGTGAGCGCTGCGCGGAGCTGAGCGCGCGGGTTGCGCGTGGGTACGCAGTGATTCTGTGGTGCTGCGGCTCGCCTCGGGGGAGCGCTGCGCAGAGCGGTGCGAGAGTGGGTGTCGCGTGTGTTCACTCCGTGTGTGATACAAGTGCGCGAGTTAACAAAGATCGCACGCCCGGGGTACGCAACTGATGTTATTGAGGAACTGGCCGCCGAGAAAATCCAGCGGTACCTGTCTCGCACGGCGTGGTGGCAGCCAGACGTGAGCTGCCCACGTCTTCCCTTTAACACCCTTGTCGAGCGCGCACGTAAGTGTGAAAGAATTCACAGCGAACGCGCGCAGCTCCGGGGGCTGGGACGAGAGCGCACCATTGCGAGCCTGCTCTCGGAAGACGAGGAGGAGGAACAGGAGCTCGCGAGGACGGTAAGGGGCCGGGAAAGAGAGCCACAGAGACCCAGCGAGACGACCCCGGGGTGGGTAGCCGGGTTACAGGCCGGTATGGGAGATATGATAACCCAAGTAGGTGAAAGGGTAACCCAGGTACGCGAGGAAGCAAATAAAAATATGACCCAACTGCAATCCTCCATTGAGACCATCCGATCCGAGATGGGGGAACTAGACTCCACGGTAGGAGGGCTAACTGGAAGGATAGCGCGACTAGAAGCAGAGTATGAGCAGCAGCGCACTGGGGGAGGAGGGAGTGGGCAGAGAGCCCATTACGGAGCCGCCACCCCTCCCCGGGCATGTTATATGTGCGATCGCCGAGGGCATCTGGTGAGGGACTGTCCTCAGGTCGCCCGAGCTAGACAAGAGCTAAGGTCAAACACTAAGGCCCCCCTAGAGAGGGGACCACCGGGGGGCGAAATCGACGTAGCCCCGACACAAACAAGCTGTGAGAATAATGGCGAGCGAGTGATCTCCACACAGGTTCCAGCAACAACGCCCACAGAAACGGTGACTCCTGGCGACTGGCTGCGGGAGCTGGTGGCGGGGATCACGGGGGCCACGTCGCTGGTGGAAGGGGAGGTAAACGGAGTGCGTACCCGAATCCTGCTGGACACGGGGGCGGTGGCCTCGCTCGTGAGCGCAGCGCACTGCAGCGCGATCGGGGTCGACGTGCGTCACCTGCAGGCACCGGACCGCGCGCTGCACACGGCGAGCGGAGCCGGAATGGGGCTGCTGGGGAGAGCCACCTTAGAAGTCCGCATAGGCAGCCAGGTGTGCACCCAGGAGTTCTACGTGTCGAGTGCGTTGTGTCACGAGTGTATCGCAGGTACCGACCTCTTAGAACGGCTGGGACTCAACGTGCAACCCCGCCAGCGATGCGCCACCGTGGAGAGCAACGGCGAGCGGATACCGTTCCTGGGACGAGAACCGACGCGCCCCCGCTTCGCACCTGTGGCCGCTATCCTGGCGACGGCAGTCACCATCGGACCGCTCACCGAGATGCTGGTGCCGGTGGCAACATCCCCCACCGACCCCGCGCTCCGACCATCAGGGGAGGTAATGCTAACTCCTCACCCGGAGTTGGCAAAACGATATGGGGTCGTGGGATCCGCCACGTTGGTAAACGCAGATGGGGACCGATTGTTTATGCGGATGTTTAACCCGCACAATACCCCAGCGATACTGCGACGGCGCACACCGATCGCCACTGTACACCCCCTGCACGCACGCCACTCTGACGAATCGGTGTTCGCACTCTGGGCTGAGGACCCCGGTCGTTCGGAGGGTGACCAGGACCTGGCCTGGCGAGTCGGCCCGACTCCCCGAGCCGAGGTCGTTCCCCTGCTCGACGCGTTACATGTACCATGGGCGGATTTACCTAAGGGAGAGGCCGATCGGCTGCGCGAGTTACTGCGGGAGTATGCCGACGTATTCAGTGAACACGACTCGGACGTGGGTCGGACCGATCTTGTTAAGCACCAAATTGACACCGGTGCAGCCCGACCCATCAAACTCCCTGCGTACCGAGTGGGCGCACCCGAACGCGACCAAATCAAAGAGGCAGTTGGGGACATGCTTCGCGATAACATAATTCAGCCCTCGGCGAGCCCCTGGTCAGCCCCGGTGGTACTAGTAACGAAAAAGGATGGGTCAACCCGGTTCTGCGTCGATTACCGTAAACTAAATGCAGTCACGCTCGGCGATGCCTTCCCCATACCCCGCATCGACGACACCTTCGACAGTCTCGCAGGAGCGCGGTATTTTTCCACCCTCGATCTGGCGTCCGGTTACTGGCAGGTGGAGATGACGGAGGAGGATCGGCCAAAAACAGCATTCACCACCCCGATGG